CAACATCAACATTGTCTTTTGGTCATCTTCAAGCGATGATCATTAAAAAAACGAAACGAAACGACCCAAGTGTATATATTTGGTGAATCGAAAAAAACAAGAAAAGAAAAATTACTTTGTTGCCTCTGGTCACTTAGATCTAATATTTTAATGAATATAGATTTCATTCAAAAAAAAAAAAAACCTGACCAATTAAATCTTCGTTATCGATTTTGTTTAACTGAATTACCAAAAAAAATTGTATTTCTTTTCTTAACATCTTTTTTTTTCTCACACAAAAACATGTTTTTAAAAAAAATAATCCAAAAAACATTTTCTTTTTCTGGAAAAAAAAACAATTATAATTTTTGACTTGTAAAAAAATCCTATAAAATTAATTGAATTTTCATAAACAAAAGGAGAAGAAACGAAGAAACGAAATTATCAAATCAAATGAAAATGATTGATGGTAATCGTTGCATTTCATTTCATTTCAATTGTAAATAATGCAACAAAAAAAACAAAAACAAAAAAACTGAAAAACAATAATTAAAACCCTATATATATTCATAAATATTGAATATATGACAAACCAACCAGCAAAACGTATTTGTTTAATTATCTTTCTTTGCATCGTCCGCATCATTTTTTTCTTTTGTTTTTTGTCATGCTGTGCATCTTTTATCATCAACCAACAAAGCAAAGCAAAACAGAAAAATGTGATAAATGTGTGATATATCAAAGTGGACAACATGAAAATTATCATCATCATCATCATCTGTTGATGGTGATGATATTATCAACCATTGCAATCATCGTTTCCGTTTATTTTCTTNTTTTTTTTTTTGCTTTCTTCTCTTTGCTTTTTGCTTTTTGTCATGCTGTGCATCTTTTATCATCAACAACCAGCGAACAAAGCAGAAAATGTGATAAATGTGTGATATATCAAAGTGGACAACATGAAAATTATCATCATCATCATCATCTGTTGATGGTGATGATATTATCAACATTGCAATCATCGTTTCCGTTTATTTTCTTAAAAGATTTTTCAAAAACGAAGAAAATTTCAATGTCATATGTGAGAATAGAATGGATGATGATTATATGGGCAATTTGTTTGTTTGTTTGTGAAAGCCAAGCAAAGAAGAAAAATCCACGATAAGTAATGTGCGATAATTATCATTGGCTTGGTCTTTTTTCTTCTAGTTGATAATGTTGCAATTGATGATAATGATTCCATTCGTTGCTTCGGCTTCTGTTGTTGGTACGAGCAATTAATTGCCACGATATTTTTTCAAAAATAAGAGGTGTGTGCTGTGCTGTGTTTTCAAAGTCAAATTATCCAAAAGAAAGTTTTTCCATTCTTGAAAACAGAGAGAGAACGAGAGAGAGAGAAAATTACAAGGAAAATTTAAAATTTAAAATTTTTTGAATGAATAAAAATTTTGCTTACCAGCATCATTCATTACTTGAACAGGAAATTTTTTTTCAGGTAATTATCTTTTTTTACCTGAAAATTTTTGTTCAATATCGATTTGTTTTTTGTTTTGTTTTTTTTTGTTTTTCGCTGATTTTTAATGATCATTCGAAGGAAAATTTAAGAATTCAGAAAATCAGATTTTTTTTTGTTCAGGAAAAAACTAAACCCCCCTTTCAGAAGAATTTGTCACCAACAATCACAACAGGTATCTTTCGGTTTTTTTCTTCTCTCTGATCGATTATCGATCGATGTGATCGATATAAAATGGTGATCGGCTTTTTTTTTGATTTTCGGTTCTTCTTTTTGATCTTGATTTTTTCTTTTTTTGTATTATCATTATGGGTTTTTTCTCTTCTTCTTCGAACCACAAAAACAAAATCGATAATAATAATTCGATATGGCGGCTACCGAATTTCTGTCATCATCATCATTAAACGAATTAAATCGAATCAAATGATGATGATGATGATAATCATTGATGATGTTTTCGAGAGAAAAAATGATGATTTTTGTTTCTGTTATAATTAAGAATTAGGAGATTTATGGATAAAAAAACCAAAACCAAAACTGAAAAAAATACCATCCACATGTGTCCATCATAATCATTATCTTTTTTTTCGAAAGATTCGGCTTCCTCTCTTTAGTTTTTTCTTTCTTTGGTTTGCTTTTGAAATTCTTCTTCGCTTGGTTTTCTCTCGAATTAACGAATCATTAAATCACAAAGAATGTGATTTTTTGCTGTTGTTGTTGTCGAAATGATCAATCCAATCAAAAGAAATTAAATCAGTCAGAAATGATCATGAAAAGATGATGACAGGTTTATAAAGATTATTTTTTTACTTCGTTGTCATCACCATCATCATCGATGATGTTCAAGTCTTGTCTGTCTCTTGACCATCATAATTAATAATAATTTTTCGAAGATAAAGATTTTGTTGTTGTTGTTGTTGGTGGTGGTAGATATATTAGATTTTCACCATATCATCATCATCATCCATATCAAATTTATCAACAACGATGTCTTCGACCAAATTATGATAAACGATATGACACACACACACAGTATCGATGGTATCGAGATGAAAAACGTTCGAATCGAAAAAAACGTTCGAATCAAAAACATTCGAATTTTCGAATGTTTTTCGATGATGATGATGAGCAAAAAGATGATATTCGTAGGATGATCTTCTTCAAATTTCAAAGCTTATGATAAATTAGAAATTATCAATTTTTTTCTGTTATAAATATGGTCATTTTTTTGAAGATATTTTTATTTATATTTCGATTCGCCAAATGCTGTTATAATTTATGATTCTGATTTTTTTTTGATTATATTTTTGTTTTGGCTAGTTTTTGTTGCCTCTTGGCTTTTTAATGATCATCACATATCATTGAGATTTATTCGTTGATGATGATAATGACAGCATTTTGCTTGCTTTTGCCTTTTTTTCTCTTCTGTTTGAATGTAATGATTAATCGAATGAAATTTGATTCTATAATTAATTTATTTTTCTTATTTTTTTCTTTAGAAACAAAAATAATGATCGATACTTGTTCGGGAAAATTATCTATTCGAGGTTCACTCATACCAATAAAGTTCGTATGAAAAAATGGACGAAAATGTTTGTTTTTTGAAAATGAAAAAAAATTTATGATTTTTTTTGTTTGTTATAGAATTCATGAATTGAAAAAAAAGAAAAATGAAAATAATTTACAAATTCTCATGCTGAAAAAAACATATATGTAGACATTTTTTCTTTTTAGTTTGAGTATAAGTAAGTATGTATATCGTATGTTTACTTAATCTTAATCCAATAATAATCTATTTTTTTGTTCAATGTTTTCGTTTTTTATTACTATTAGGATGTGAATTTGATGATGAATGTTTCGAATGATGATGATCATCTGATCGACGTTTCAATGAATTTGAATGATGATGATTGTTATTATGATGTGGACGATGATGATTTGATGATGATTTTTCTGATTTACCGCCACTGCTACCTTTACTCATTACTTTACGTTTTTTAGCCGTATAATCATCAACAAATTCACCAAGATTACGATCAGCTTTTGCTGCTTCTTCTTCCAATTCTGACCAATCTTTACCGGATTCTTCACTTGAACTAAGTGAACGTTCTACAAATAAAACAAAGATAATTTATTAGAATGAATAGATTACATTCCCTCTACAAAAAAAATTACCATCACTAGAATCATCTTCCGATATTGATTCATCCGAATATTCGGATTCTGATTCTTCATTATCATCAAATTCAGATGCTGATGGATCATAAACTTCATCTTCTTCATCAAGTTCTTCATCACCTTCACCTTCATCACTATCGTTCGCATCCAAAAATGACCAACCACCATTATCGAAAAAATCTTCCGGATCATCCGTAATTGTTTTCATAATTTTTGCCCAATTCAAGCTTTGTATACCTTCAGTATAACGTATATCACATGAACTATATACAAAAACAAAAAACATTAACAAAATGATCATCCAAAACAAAAAGAAACAAACAAACAACATACTTAAGCCATTCTTTTACATGATCCAACATGTTCATCGGTATTGAATTTACTGTTGCTACTTTACGAAAATAATCTTTAAATACAAAAACCATATCAAAGTTTTTCAAATGAAATTGTACACGTTCAAAATGTACTAATTCAATATCTTCAAGTGATATGACGAATGGTGGCTATATTTGAACACAAAATTTTATAATGAGATTTAAAAACACAAAAATCAAACAAAAACTTACCCAATCGGTAAGATTAACCAAACAACCAGATGTTGGCTGTAATAAAACATTCGATCGATTTGGTACACCATAAAAACCAAGATCTCTAAATGGTACATCAAAATCAACTTCTTGTTTGGTCATTGCTTCAACTTTATCGCAAAATAATTGAAATGCACTTTTCAATTTTTGTCTCATTTCTCTTTCAGCTTGTTCGGCTGCTAAATCATCACGATCATGCATATGTTGATGTTTACCCAGATCGGTTGTTATTTCACCAACTTCCGTATAAAATTGAACATCGGTCTGTTTTTTCTTACCAAACATTATTGGATTCTATTTTTTTCAAAAAAAAAAAATACCAAAAATGAATGAAAAACAAAAAACAACAACAAATCCAAACCAACAAACCTTTAAATGAAAATGTAACAAAATTAACATTTCACCATCACATGGTTGGAAAAAAGCATGTTTAATATTATTATACATAATATCAATTTTATCACCACGTATCGAAGTGAAACGAAAACCATTTTGATGTGCTTCCAATGTACCATGTATACGTTTAGCAATAATATTTGGTTTTATATATAAATCTTTTAGCCGTGGATTGGTTTTCGAATTCGATAGTATCAATTGATCTTGTTTAACAATACCTTCCATTTCACGTTCTTCTGCTTCACGTGTTTTAAATTTTTTCTGCACTTCTTTAATCAAACGAAATGCCGTATTCAGGTTTGATGATGGTGCTGAAATTTCACCCGCTTCTTTCAGGTTAGTTGAACGATAAGTTAATTCTTTTAAAAATGTTTGATTTGCATTCGATGCAAACATTGATGATTCTTGTTTGGTTATTGTTGTACCAGGTGTAAAAAAATTTATACGTAAATAAGTATAATCACCTTCAATTGATTGTGATATATTTTTTATTGTCGATATATGAAATGGTACCGGGATACCAAATATTGGTAAAATTATTGTTTCAAAACGTTTATCAACATAAATTTTCAATTCTTGTATTTCACGTTCTTGTGGCATTTGTTGTGTTGAACGATATGAAATGGTTGATTTTCTAGCACGTTCTTCACCTTTATGACCGGATTTTTGTGCTAAACGTGCACGTGCTTCTTCATTCAACGATACAGCTAATTCACGTTGATGTTGACGACGTTTTTCAACATCGGTTGCTTCCGATCTAAGTTTTGTATCAATAACAGCTGTACGTCTACCACCACGTGATTGTAGAGCATCTTTAACAACATCATCCATTTTATCATCTTGTTCTTCCTCTTCTTCTTCTTCATCATCATCATCACGAATTATAATGGCAATATTTTTTAATTTCTTTTTACTTTGTGTCAATATTATTGCCGATTGTTTATCATCTTTAACCAAAACAGTATCACCAATGAATAATGCATAGATTTTATTCTGTTCATCTTGTGCTTCATGATTTTCAAGATTAGCAAATCCAAGACTAACATTAAATGTCATACCACGTTTAACAATAGCTGATGATTTTGGTGCAATTTGCAAGGAACTTTCACGAAATTCAATACCCATTATAAAACCACAATTTCTAGTAAATTTTTCAACTAATTTTCGATCATATTTTGCAACCATATCTGTGGCCATTTGATAAACATCCGATAGTATGGTTCCTGGTCTTAAACGTTCTAAAATAGCTTCCTGTACGGTCAATAAAAATTCATAATGTTTTTTCTGTTCATCCGTTGGATTAACCAATAATGTTCGTACAATATTTGAACAATATTGTCGATAACGTAAACCAAGTGAACAGGTTATTGTACCAAAATGTAAAATATTCTTATCACTTGATGCGGAAAATTTTAGATTATATTGTCCACCACTTTGTATGATGGCCGGATAACATAATTCAACTTGTGTTGTATCAATATTTTTTATATATTTTTTATTCTGTGATGCTTGTTCAACACCTTCGGTCAATTTTATATGTCGTACTTTACGATCTTCATCAATAATACGTGTCAGTTCTTCTTTCAAATATTTTGTATATAATTCACATGTTAACATTGATGATTTTGTCATTAGATTTATTTCATAATCATCTTTTGCTGCCATTAGATAAGCAATCGGTATACTTATATCAATAACATTGAATTTTTTTCCATCTAAACGTTTTTGCCATTCAACAGTAAATTCACCGGGGAATTTATCCTTGATGAATGCACCTAAATTTTTTCCCGTACCAGAATTTTCAATAGCCGATAATAATTTATCAAAATTTGAACTATCTTTATCGGTTTTATCACGTACTAATAATGTTATTGATGGTAATGATTCGGATTCATTTTCTTTACCCGATTCAATTGTTTTCAAAAAATCTACCTTCTTTTTTGATGCCAGTATAAATAGATTACGTTTACAAAATACCATAATAACATCGGTCATTTCATAACCAAATAACCATGTTTGTATTGCTGATGATTTACAATACAAAACTTCATTCTCTAAACCGATGGCAACCATAATTGCATCACATTTCATAAGATTTGTATATAATTCTTCATCGTGTCCATTCTGTCAAGTGAAAAAGAGAAAATTTATTTACATTTCAAAACAAATTGCAAAAATTACCTTCCATGCATTATACAGTAAACGAATACGGCGAAAAAATGCATCTTTATCGATTGAAATTGATGATTGAGACATGATTGATTTTGGATTTTTTTTTTTCGATGACAACAACAACGATGATTATTGAATATGACAACACATTACAATGACAGACAAACCGGATCAGAATTATCGAATGACAATGATCATTAAGTAAAAAATGTTTTTTTGAAAAATTTGACCAAATTCAGGAATACAAAAAAGATAACAGAAATAAAGACAATATCGGCGAAACACACACACACCACAAGCCAAAAAAGAATAGCTGCTGAAAGAACGCGAGGGAAAAAAAATTGAGCGAATTTTTTTTTCGGTTACCGTTCATAATGTACGTTTGCTTTTTTCATAATTTTTGTTGGCGCCATTTTTTCCAATTTCTTTTCATTCTTTTTTCGCTATTTTTTCATTTGAAAAATTTTTTGAAATTTTAAATAAAAATTTTATTTACGAATGAAAAATTGAAAAATTATTTTGATTGGAATTACGAAGGGGAAAATTATTTTTTCAATTTTGTTTTTTCAAATGCAAAAAAAATAAAAAAATCATCAGGACAGCGTACGCCATCTATCGATCAATCGTGGGAAAAATGTTTTTTTTTTGAAATGTGGATTTTTTTTTTTTGTTTTGAATCAAGAAAATGCCATCATCGTTATCAGGGATAAATTTAGAAATTTTTTTTTTTCGTTTGTTTGTTTGTTGTTTATTAACCATTCGTACCCATCATTTAGAAGCCAAAAATAATAATAAAAAAACAATTTCGGTCACCAATTCGATTATCATCAACCAGATTCAGGTATTTATCAAATTATTTTGCGTCGATTTACAACGATAAACAAATGAATAAATGGATAAATCATCTGTATCATGTACACAATATTGTCCAATTGAACATTGACATCTTGGGGGAGAGAGGGGGAAACAGGGGGAGAGGGGAGAAAAATTTGAAATTAATTTTTGACTTTTGACTTTTTGAATGAAAAAAAAACTTACGAACTAAATACAAAATATGATGGTATTTTACGAAATTGTTCCGGTCGAAATACTTCCCAACCACATGGTTGAAAAATATTACAAAAAGGTTTTTCCGATGTTATCATTGTTGTTGTTGTTGATGCTGCTGCTGATGATGGCAATGATGATGATAAAAATAGACGATTATCATCCTTTGATATTTTCGAAATTGTTTGTGATGATGATTGTAATGGTAATGATAATGATAATGGTATCATCATTATATTTGTGACGATTATGGTCAACATTATTATCAATAATGTTGGCCAAATTGATACAATTTTCATTAGCATCTTTTCAGTTTTTCGCAGAATTTTTCGCTACAAAATCTCGCCAATTACACACCTGTACGATAGTAGTTGATTGATCGGTTGTTAATTATCAACAATGCAAAAACAAATGACGAAAATTGATTGATTGATTGAAAATCGAAATATCGAAAGTCGTTGTTTGTTTTGTTTGGACAAACGGGATTTATTTATTTTTTTCTTCCATTCAACCAATCCTATTTATAGTCTCTCAGTGTGATTTGATGATCATCAGAAAAAAAAGTAAAAGTAAAAGTAGCGAAAAAAAAATGTAGCAAAAAAAAACGAACGAACGAAAAAAAAAACCAATTTTTGCTTCATTTCGTTCTTCAATGATGTCTTACTGTTGATGGAAATGATCCATTTTTTTTTGCTTGGTTCCTAGGATTTGGCTGCTATCATCATCTTCATCATCATCATTGATGAGGATGATGTTCTCAATTTTTTTTCTGGTTACTGGTTACTGTTGTCTTTAATAACTAGCCGAAACCAGAATAAAACTGGTGAGAATGGAAAAAATTTTCTTTTAACTATATTGATTTTCTTGTTTGAGATAAGAATAGAAAATGGAAAAAGAAAATAGAATCTGGTTGTAGGTGTGTGTGTGGGTTGCAGCTTATGCTGGTTTCTTTTTTTTTTTTTGGTTTTTGGAAAAAAAACAGAAGAAAAACGACGACCAACCAACCGGATATCCAATCACATGATGATGATAATTTGGAAATTAAAAGATCATTTTTCAGGTTNAAATGGAAAAAAAAAATAAAATCTGGTTGTAGGGGTGTGTGTGGGTTGCAGCTTATGCTGGTTTCTTTTTTTTTTTTTTGGTTATTGGAAAAAAAACAGAAGAAGAACGACGACCAACCAACCGGATATCCAATCACATGATGATGATAATTTGGAAATTAAAAGATCATTTTTCAGGTTTGAATAAGGTAGTTAGTTTGTTGTTTGTTTGTTGTCTTTTTTTGATTAAAAAATGAATTAGTAATGAGTTTTTTTTCAGTTGTTGATGGATGATAAACACACCAACGCAATTTTTCTTTTGTTTTCATTTGTTTGTTTTTTTCTCAAGAATTATCCATGGATCAAAACATCATTCCATCGTAAGAATCAACAATATCAATCGATAATGAATCCTTAGTAGTAGTTTTGATTGATCAAGATGATTTCCAAAAAAACTGATTCATTCCATGATATCAAATGTCCCCTCTCATTTTATCAATTTTTTTTGTTTGTTATAACGGACATTGGTCAATAACAAACCAATCGACAACAACATCTTTTGAACTAATCACGATAGAATATTGGATTCTTTATTCTGAAATCTGAAAAAAACCGCCTACATTGATCGCACAAGTTGGCTTCCTTTCAATCGATCGGTTTTTGTTTACCCTGATTTCCGTTTTCCATATTTTTTTTGGCTTTTTTTGCTTAAATTAAAAAAAAACGTTTTTTTTTGATCAAAGTTTAAAAAAGTAGCAAAAAAAAATTGTACTTTTTCATCACCTTTTTCAAAAAAATTGTTAATCAATTTTTGTTGGATGGTGTTCGTGCTCAAGTGCACAGATTAATGTATTTTTTTTCATTCGTAAAAAAAACTACTATCGGGATCGATCAATCAACAATCGATATTGTTGTCCATCCATTTTGTTGATTATTGCTATGTAACCATATCATCATATCATAACCTTTGACATTCATTTGTTTGGAATTTGAACCGACCAACAACAGCAGCAATTTTTATTATTGAAAAACAGTGAAAAAGACGTAGGTCAGTGAATGATGATCGTAAAAAAATACATCAGATTTACGTGAAAAGATTTTCGGAAAAAAAGATTTTTTTCTTTTGAAAATTTTATGACTTTTTTTTGAAATAAAAATTCGGAGGGTGTAACACCGCACACTGACATGCACACACACTGACACACACATTCAAATACTGCTAGAATTTTTTTTCCAAAAATAATTCCAAAAGCTCCACCTATTTGCTAGCGTTAAACTTTACTACTACCTTTTTTTTTTGAATTTTTAAAAATACCGAGGATCTTAGGGTTTTTTTCTGGATCTATTATCCTCAACATTATTCTATACTACTACCCCTTGATTGATGGATGGTGCTCCTTGTTTTTTTCCCGTTTTGTATTCGGTTTATGATGATAATGGAGGGGGTTAAAGTGGATTCTTTATTTTTATGTTTCCAATTTGGCCATTGACATTCGATGAATTTTTTTTTCTGAAGTGAATTTTTTATCTTTTTTGATTGATTTTATCGTGTTTTCTTCTTCTTAATCACCTAAATATACTCATCATCATTTGGATCTCTCTTGGAAATGACCGAAAAAGAATTAATCGTTATGAATAAATTAGAATATTTAAAAGAAATACGTTATCGTATGCAAGAAATTGATCGTATGCGTTCATCAATCAATGAAGAATTAGATCTAGTCAATGTTGAAGAAAAATGTCTGCAAGAATATCGTCGTGAAATGGATTCATTGTATCAAGAAAAAATGACACATGTAGAAGAATTACGACAAATACATTCGGATATTAATATGTTGGAAAATGTTCTGAAACAATCGGAAGAAGATCGTAATCGTCATGTTGATAATGTTAAACGTTTACATCATCATTTACAACAAATGAAAGATGGTGTTGAAAAAATGCGTTCCGAAATTGGCTTGCCTAGAATGCAAGAAAATTTAACCAATCAAAATAATCAAAAAGATGAAGATGCATTAATGTTGGATAAACTGGATTTGGTATTAGATGCAGCCGCAAAACGTCATGGTAATAATAATTCATCTGGATATTTGAAAGGTGAATTTGAATTAAAAGCAACAACAATGGATCCATTAGTTGCTAAACAATTATCATCATCATCATCGAATAATCCATCGACAAATGTTGGTTCAGGTTCGACTGGATCGACAAATAAACCATTTGCTGATAATACAAATACATCGGCAACAAATTCATCTGGACCTAAATCTTCTGGTGCTGGTGGTGGATATTCATCATCATTAGCATCATTAATGTCCGGTTTTCAAGATCTTCATACTGGTGGATCACGTACAAGTGGACAATCAATGGCCCAAAGTTTAGGATCATATAATGATCATCATCATGGTACAGCATCTGCATCCGCATCATCTGTTGTACCGAATTCAGTTGCATCAGCTGCAGCAGCAGCTGCATTTCGTCAACAACCACCACCAATGAAATCATGTCTTTCTTGTCATCAACAAATTCATCGTAATGCACCAATTTGTCCATTATGTAAAGCTAAAAGTCGTAGCCGTCATCCAAAACGACGTAATCAACCGAAACAAAATTAGAAAATTTTTTCGTTTCTTTAAAATTCTTTTATAATCTTATATAATCAATCATTGATCAGATAATCTCATTTTTTTAAATTAGTTTTGAATTTGCATGTAATCTTTTTTTGGAAAAAAAATAAATATTTCCTATGATTGCCATCTAGCGGCTTGGAATTGAATTGAATGCTAACCAAAACAAATTACATGTTCGAATCGAATGAAATTTTTTTTTCAAAAAATGAAAACAAATCAAAAATTAGCATTACGTTGTTCAATTTTATCCGGTTTATTTGCATCGTTAGCATCGGTTTTTGGTAAAATTGCAACATCATCAAAGATATGTCAATCATATTTACAATCAATATTATCAATATATTTCAATGATGATGATTCAATCGAAATTCAGGTAAATATCTATTGTATTTTAGTTATCAGATAACCGAAATTGTTTTTCTTTCGTAATGTTTTTTTTACAAGATATGGCTTATACGAGCGATTCAAATCCTAGCATTTGCCGCAATGATACTAGTCAATTCAATAATGTGGACACAATTTTCATTAGCATTAGCACATTCTCGGTATACAATACAGGTAACCACAGTGAATACGGTTACAAATTTTATCTGTTCAGTATGTATTGAAAAAAATTATCTATAAAACCTTGTTTTTTGTTACCTCTCTTTCTCTCCTCTATCCAAGGCAATATTCGGTATAATTATTTTCAATGAAACAATAACAATTCAATGGACAATCGGTATAACATTGATTCTAATTGGAATCATATTATTAAAACGAAACGATACATCGATTATTAATCGTTCATCTAATTCGATTTTGAATTCGAATTCGAATACTAAATTAACATTCGAAAAAGAAGAATAATTCGTAATCAATTTTTGGTTTTAATAAATAAATTTTAATCAATTTTTCACTCAAAAATTATTGAAATAATGTTTATCATTTTTTGTTTTCAAATTCAATTTCATAATAATAATGATGTTTGATTCAAATATTGATTTTTTGTTTCTCTCAACAAATTCTTATTATTTGTTTTAAAATCTTCATTGGGGATTAATAATCACGAGGTAAGCAAATGATGCACACACACAAACAAAAAAAACAGTTGATAATGGTGATGAGTATTGATGATTGATTGATTGATTGATGATCAAATGTTTCGAAAGACAAAGAAGAAGACCAAGATGAATAAAAATACTTTCAATCAATCAGATTCGGTGGGTTAATTAAATTTTAATAAAAATTTCTTTTCTTTTTTTTTCTTAACAGCCGAGAAAAAAAATTGTACGCTTCTTCAGCATCGTTTCAAAAATCAAAACAAAAAAATCACAAATTAAATTTCAAAAAAAAATATAAACAAAATGCGAAATAATGAATAGGATGTGGAGAGAAATGAAATGAAAATCAAAAATCAATCAATCAATCGATAATGATGATGATGATACTTGGAATGTATTTTGTTTTGGAAATGTGTTATGGATTCAAAAAAATTATCAATCAATTAAGGGGATATTGTGTTGATGTGTGTGTGTGTGTGTTTGGTTTGTTGTTTGTTTGGACTTTGATTCTCTTAACCAGATTTTTGCATCTTTTCACGAAATGATGAAAAATCAAAATTTTTTCCTTTATTAATATGTAGAATATAATCGGGTAGATCGACACCCATGGCGGCTATTTTGTCAATAGATTGGAGAAAAAAGAGAGAAAAAAAATTTGAAAATTAAAATTTTGAAAAATTAAAAATTCATTCAACAACGAAAACAACAAGAAGAAAAAAAATAATAATTTACCTGCACGTTTATTGCTTTTAACATTTAAAAATTTTCTTACACGTATTTGACTGGATTTAGCTAATAATTCATCAATAATACGTGTTAAATGATTATGATCCATATCGAATAGATCTAACATTTCTGGTTCATTTTCAATTAATTGTTGTAAACGATTATATAATAATATTGATTTTAATGAATTTGAATCCAATGGTACGATCATATCTTCACCACTATTACCACCACCAATAACATTATTATTGTCTTGAATTGGTGTGGCCATCGTAACCATAATCATCATCGCTATGATGGCCATTATTGATGCCATCATTTGATTTTTATCAATTTTTGATTGTTGAATTTGCATAATTATTTAGTTTTTGTTGAAAAAATTTTTTCTTGAGACACAAAACACAGAAAAAAAAGGATGATTCACAATTCAGAAACAGAAAAATTCACTTTTTTTCAAATGGGAAAAATTCAGAATATATATTTTGTTTGTCGCTTTCAATTCAAAATTTTGGTTTGAAAAATATCTTCTATTTTTGGGGGTATTTATATATAGGCAAACCGACGACGACGACAACTAACAGACTACTGTCGGAAGGAGTGGCGCCCAATCATCATCATCATCATCGATGATGGGTGGGATGGGGGTGGAAAAAAGGGTGGCATTTTTTGTGTTTTACAAATGATTAGATATATGAATGATGGTGGTGGTTGGTTGGTTGGTTGATATGCGTGTTTCATTCATGTCATGAAGAATCAACCAAACAATAAAAATGAAAAAAATGTGGGTGGAGGGGAAGAAGGTGTTAACCTGGGAGGAAAAAAAATAGATTTTCGTTCATATTTTTTTTGAAAAATATATTGAATGAAATAATGAATGTCAAGGCATCATTGCATCCAAACATCATCAGATGATGAAATATACAGAGAGAAGAAAAAAAAATATTTGATCTGGTTTCCATTATCTGATGATCGGTTTGGAATGACAGTTTCATCATCATTTTTGGATCAATTAATAATCAATTAAAGTCGATTATTCAATAGATAGAGAGGGGGGGAGAGAGAGAGAGAACAATGTTATTTAGATCTGTCAGAATATTTTTCACTAGTCTAGTTTAGTTTATAATGAATATTATAATTGATTATTTTTATGTTTTTTTTTCTTCAGTGGAATTTGTGTGCAATGTAGAATGTGTCATCCTTTTCTTGCGAAATTCTGATGCAATCTTCTGTCGTCATTAGGCTGAAGAAGAAGAAGAGAAAAAATTCAAATTAACTTTAGATAATTATCGATCTCGAAATAATGTTGTTTCGTTCATTCTTTCACTCGACCCCTTTCAACACCAAATTTTTTGTTTTTTTTTTAAAAAAAAAAAAGGAAAAACAAAATTAAAACAAAACAAAACAAACAAAAGCGGAATGAAGCAGTTCAAACTGATTGATTTCTCAAAAAAAGAAAACATGTTTTTTTTACTATTATCAAAATAATGAAAAATTTTCAATTCCAGATATGAAATGAACGATGAAATAAAATCTAACGAAGAAAAAAAACTTATCGATTTTGATATCGATTTCAGTTTTATTATTATTATTATTATATACCCTCATCCTCATCATCATTAGCTTATTTGAAATGTTTATGTTGTTGTTGTTGTTGTCAATCAATCCTAATGGTTGATAATTTTAATCATTCAGTAAAAATTTTGATGCATCATCAGTAAATTGAATTGAATTGATTGATTGATTGATTGGATTCGAAGATGATGTGAAATTGAAAATGAAAAATTTCATCTGAAAAAAAAAATTAACACACGGTGGACACTTGATGAAAAATGAAAAATCAATCAGATTTTTATCGATTTTCTTATTAATAACTAAATATCCAATTTTTTGACGAAATCTTGTCATCTGGTTTTTTTTGGCTTTTTCTGTTGCTGTTGTTGAACAACCTTGACATAATGATTATCATTTGATGGCCAAATAATCTATTTTTAAAGTTTTTATCAATCAAAAGCGAAAATAAAAATATTGTACACTCTTTTTTTTCGCATATCATGTGGTTCAACAAACAAACAAACAAAACAACAACAACAACGGTAATCTTGAAATGTTGGACATTTGATTATCAATCAATCAATGATCGAAACCTGAGATTTCAATGTTTTTTTTTCTTTCGAATCGAAATCTATTTCCATCCTTTTCACTTTTAGGTCCAACAAAACCATTATAACCATTTTGAATTCCATTTTTAGCATATTTTTTTTTGGTTTCCCAAAGCACTTTGATTTTTTGTTTTTCATTTGATTTGATAAATCATTAAAATCACTCATCAAATTGACGAAAACAAACACAAAAAAAAATTTGTTTTCGTTCAAAGCCAAATCTTGTTTTTTCCATTTGATTTGGGTTGCTTTGGTGATTGTTGTTGTTGTTGATTAATGTTGATGATGATTTTGTCTGGCTTGAATATTTTGTGATATAATCCTAATTAGAGAATGATCGAGAAAAATCCAAAATTCAAAATTCAGATTGAATTTAGCCAAAAATGTGCTTTTTGACAGGTGATGATGATACGATGATTAGATGGTCCGGAAGACGTTTATCCAAAACCATATTAGATAATAACAGCAGCAGCAGTATCAGCAGTGAAAAAAATTGATGATGTAAATCTTGATTTTCATTCACAAATTCAATAAAAATTATTATCGATGATTGTTTTCACGTGATCGAATTCGTTTTCAAAATTGAATATTGCGTATTTTAAGAAAATGTTTGAATTTTAGTCTCCTATCGGCCAAACACCGTTTGTTCATATGTATCTTTGGGTCTCTTTTTCTTCCAAATATCTTCGACAAAATTGACAAATCTTCAATGTTTTGTTGAATGAATTGATTTTTATTGATGGATGTTTTTTCACCATTTGTATTTCCAATTTACAATCGAATATTATTGAACTTGATAAAATCTATCATATTTACGAATCAATTTTCTTTCTTGTTTTGAAATCATCATCATCATGATTATAATTGATTAATTTTGGTTGGGAAAAATGAATCTTTCAGTTTCTTTTTGTTTTGGGTTTTCAAAATGTCTTTTTTCCATTTCATTTCTGCCAAATGGCCAAAACATAAGTTTTTTTCTGATGAACTGATTTTCATTTTTGTTGATTGGTTGAGGAGAAAATAAAAACATGAACAAAGATTTCATTGTAAAAGATCTTTCGTTTTTTCTCTGGTACATTTTGGCCATCAGAAAACAATAATCTTTTTTTCTCTTCAAAAATCTGGAGAAAAATTTCCAATTTTGCGATTTGAATATTTTTCGATTTTGAATTTTCCAAATGATGGACATTTTATTCGAATGTCTAAATTCCAGATGATTGACATTAAACGGATGACCTAGAAAACGAATGAAAAAAACCCAAATTATTAGATAAATTTAATTAATCAATTCAAGGAATGTCTGTTGTATCTTTCTTGTTCATTGTCATGTTAAGCGTATGTGACAGCCACAAACAAACAAACAAACAAAAACATCAATGGAAATTATCATGTCAAAAAAAAAACAAATGAAAATTTGAGGGAAAAAACCCCGAATGATAAATTTTGACCAGCCAAAAAAAGAACATAATCATTTTTGGTCCAAAAAATTAATGAAAATAATTTGTCAATTTATGGATGATTCATGATCGACAAAGATATTTCAACAAAAAAACAAAAAACAAAGAACAAAAAAAATTGATATTGAAATCGATATCTGGATTCTATCGCGATTCGTTCGACAAAAAATGAATGTTCGAATTATTCGTTCGATTTACGTCATATTTCTTTTTTGTTTGTCACAAAAGTTTCTGGAAAGTTTTTCTTTTTTTCCAAAATATAATTGGCTGACATTTTTATCATCATCATTATCGTTTACTCGATGAATTTTATTTGTAAAAAGAAAAAAGTTTTCAATTTAAAAAAAAAAAAAATTAAGATTTTTTTTTTTGCTAAAAGCAATTTTTCCTGAAACAAAATGACAAACTAATTAGTGATTTTTTTTTTTGCTGGTTGAAATTTGAAACTTAAAAATCTTATCATCATAATAAGTGATCCAATTAATTTTACAAAATATTCAATTTTTTTTTTGTTTCAAGTTTTTGAAACAAAAAAAAAAATTTCGAGTGTCGATCGATCTTTGGTAGGTTTTTTTGGGAAAAAAAATATTCCGGAATTTAAATTTTCGTCAAAAAAAAAATCATCCGGATATTTGTAATCATCATTTGTCAACGTGGGTTACCTTTTTTTGATAAAAAAAAGTTCATTGAGTTATGATGTCAGAATAAACTTGGTTCAAAATGAAAAAAAAACAAAAAGAAAAGAAAAGTAACGAAAAAAAATCCTGATCATTTTGGCTTAATCCAGCTAAATATCGATGATAATGGTTGGCATATTATCATCAAAAAGGAAGAAATATGACATTGAATCCGGTTTGAATCGGTTTTTATGTTTGTTTGTTTGTTTCGTTCATTCATAATCAAATCATTCCATTTTTTGTTTTCTCATTTCACATCATCGTCATCAGTTTTTTTTTGTTCATCCAAAAAATGAATCACACACAAACANTTTTTTCCAAAATATAATTGGCTGACATTTTTATCATCATCATTATCGTTTACTCGATGAATTTGATTTGTAAAAGAAAAAAAGTTTTCAATTTTTTAAAAAATTAAGATTTTTTGCTAAAAGCAATTTTCGTTGGGAAAAAAATGACAAACTAATTAGTGATTTTTTTTTGTTGGAAAAAAAATTGATAAAGATTTTTTTTTTGCTGGTTGAAATTTGAAACTTAAAAATCTTATCATCATCATAAGTGATCCAATTAATTTTGCAAAATATTCAATTTTTGTTTTGTTTCAAGTTTTTGAAACAAAAAAAAAAAAAAAATTTCGAGTGTCGATCGATCTTTTTGAAAAAATATTCCGGAATTTAAATTTTCGTCAAAAAAAAAATCATCCGGCTATTTGTAATCAACGAAATTTGCCAGCACGGGTTACCTTTTTTTGATAAAAAAAAGTTCATTGAGTTATGAAGAGAATAGAAAAGGAATTGAACTTGGAAATAAACTTGGTTCGAAATGAAACAAAAAACAAAAAGAAAAGTAACGAAAAAAATCCTGATCATTTTGGCTTAATCCAGCTAAATATCGATGATAATGGTTGGGCATATTATCATCAAAAAGGAAGAAACATGACATTGAATCCGGTTTGAATCGGTTTATGTTTGTTTGTTTGTTTCGTTCATAATCAAATCATTCCATTTTTGTTTTCTCATTTCACATCATCGTCATCAGTTTTTTTTTTGTTCATCCAAAAAATGAATCACACACAAACATCAGTGAAAAAATCTGTGAAAAAGAAAGAAAAGAAAATAAAACTGATTAGCCGTATAATTGAAAAACATTGATGATATTTTTTTAATGCGTCTGCTAATCTTGTTGAATATTTTTTTTTTTTTGTACTAAAATCTTTATCACCGTTATCTGTTTGTTGTGTCACACGCGTAACGTTCATTTTTTTTCGTTAACGACGGAAATCATCATCATCATAATAATCTTTTATCGTTGAGAAACTGAAAAGATTTTCATTCTTTCTCAATTTTTTTCTTCTTTAAAAAAAAACATATTTTTCATTTCGAATGTTTTGTTTTGTTTTTCTTGGTTTCAAAACTTTTCTTGATCATTCGATTTTTATCTTCACAAATCATAATCACAATAATTTTTTTTTTGAACACTGGGAGGGTTTGATGATTAGATCATATCGATTTTCTTTGATTTGATTTAAATTTTCTTGGTTTTTTTTCATCCATTGCCTGATTTAGATTGACTTATTATTATTAACATGATTTTTCTATTTCGATATCCATAGAAGAAGGAAGAGACTGGATAAATTCAATTATATCGATATTGATTGATCGATTGATTGGGTGAAAAAAAAAATTTTCACAGATTTTTAATCGATGATAATGATAATGATTATGCAGATTTGTATCATTTCATAATAAGAAAAATTCATTTTTTTCGAATGAGAAAGAAAAACATGTGCGTTTTTTCCTTTTCAGTTCTTCTGTTCAATCAATCAATTGTTTACATTTTGGTTGGATGTCAAATAGAAGTCAAACAATCATCATCATCATCCGATTTATAACAATTTGCACTTGATGATATAAATGAAACATGATGATTATAATGATAAATCTAATACAAACAAAACAGAAAAATTACAACAACAAAACAAAAAATTCAAGATCAACAACATATTATATACAATACAATACATACAGAAGAAGAAGAAAAAGAAACAAAAATCGGTTGAATGTTTATTTGGATTAAGATAACATTCATTTTTCATCGTTTGCACTAGTTAACTTTGCAATTCACTGAATGGGTTGATTGGTCGAGGTGGATTTTCTTGTTTGTTTGTTTATTTGTTTTAGTATTTTTCTGATTGTCAAAGGAAAGAAACGAGACCAAAAAAAGCTTGAACTTGTTCAGAATCGGAAGTAAAGGTCAAAATGTTTTCGTTTCAAAAATTTTTTGTTTTGGCGGAAAATTCGAACGTCAAAAAAATAAATTCGAATCTTTTTTTTTTGGTTCAAAAATTTTCCAAATTGACACAACCATTTTCAATCAGTCGAAATAGTCAAGTTTTTTTTGCATGCATCTGATGCAAAATGTTCGAATAATTTTTTTTGAGTATTTTATCGATCATTTCCCATGAAATTATTTGGAAAATCTTTTGAAAAAATCTAAATTCCATTGAATTGCATGAATTTTGTTGTTGTTGGTGTGGATATGTACAAGACATGACAATTTTAAATAAATTGAATCGATCAAATTTCATTCGATTACAGGATTTACTCAAGATCGAACAAAGATCGAAATATTTGTTCAATTCAATCGAATCAAACAATAATCATTGGTATCAAGATGGTAAAAAACCTATATCAACTGCAAATCAGCATCATCATCATTCATCTATTTTAAATCATCATATGAATGATAAAAAACCGGATGATTATTCATATGGTAAACGTGATTATCATCATAATAATAATAATCATGTGGTAGATCAACAATGTCAACAAATAATTCGAGGACGATTATATCGTTGGAATGATGTTTTGTTTAGTTCAACATTCAATGAAATTGTTCGTCTTGATTCATCAATAATCGATGATATTACGCAATATAGTGTAAGTTTATCAGTTTATGATTTTGTTTGGATAAAATATTAATTGTTTGTTTTTTTGAATAATATGAAAATAGCTATTTCGTGAAAAGAATTTTATCAAATCATTTGATAAAGGATTCTTTTCATTGATGCCATTTGTTGTTCGATCATTAGAACGTCTAATCGATTTAGTTGATCAACAAATGTTTAAAATTGGTGCACAAAAAATTCAAATGCCATCGATTGTTGGTAAACATTTATGGTTACGTTCAGAACGTTGGCAATTATCCGGTCAGGAAATATTTCGTGTTAATGATCGTCATCAATCGGAATATTGCCTGGCACCAGTATGTATACTATCATCATTATCAATCGTTCAATTTGATGATTTTTGTTTGTTTATTTATTTTTTGATAGACACATGAAGAAGTTGTTACACAAATATTAGCATCATGTAATCAATTATCACATAGACAATTACCAATCTATTTATATCAAATATCACCAAAATATCGTGATGAATTGCGTACAAAATTTGGATTATTACGTGCCAGAGAATTTATTATGAAAGGTATGGTTGTTGGTTGTTGATATTGAATAATCATAAATTCTGATAGGAATATTTTTATTTTTTACAAAACAAAAACAGATTTATATACATTCGATAAGGATGAAGATACGGCCAAACAAACATATCAATTGGTCAGTTCAATGTATGAAAATATATTTCGTTTATTAGAATTACCTGTGATTAAAAGTAAGTTGTGTGATTTAATTTTTGTATTTTAATTTTTTGAAAAAAAAATTCAACTAATAACCTTTTCAGCAGTTGGATCAGTCGGTACAATTGGTGGTAAACATTCACACGAATTTTTACTTGAAACAAATCTTGGTGAAGATGAAATGTATACATGTTTAAATTGTTCTGAATCATTTAATGCTGAATTATTAGATGATATTAATGATGATCAACAACAACAACAACAACCATATTGTTTAAATTGTAAAAGTCATCATTTAACCACAAAACGTCGTGCATTAGAATTGGGACATTCATTTTTATTATCCGATCGTTATTCAAAACGTATGGGTGCCATATATTTAGCTGAACATTCAAATAAACAAATGTATGTTTGTTTCTTTTCTCATAAACTTGACAATTTTATAATCTTTAATCATTATATATATAGACCATTACAAATGGGATGCTATGGCTTGGGTATCAGTCGTATATTGGCCGCATCAGTTGAATATCTATCCTGTAAATATCAACAATCATTATCATCGGATTCTGAATCATCGGCACAATCATCATCATCATCGCAATCACAATCGGCATCGACGTTATATGATTCAGCATCAAATTCATTATTTTTACGATGGCCAAAATTAATTGTACCATTTAAAATTTGTTTAATATTACCGAAACGTGATAGTAAAGAAGATCATGGAAAAGGTACAGAATTTTCAATGCATTTAGCCAATATTATTCGCGATCGTTTTGGTGAAGATATTCTTATTGATGATCGTTCAAATCTGACCATTGGTAAACGTTTATTAACAGCTAAAACAATTGGTATACCATTCATATTGGTAGCCGGTCGTAATATAATCGATGTACGGCCAAAATTTGAAGTATTCGATATGTATAATGTTGGTGATGATTCGATTGATGCCAAACAACAACAACAACAACAAGGTCGTCTAATGACACAGGCAGAAATTCTTGATCATCTTAATATTCATCTAAAACATTTTCAATTGAATAAAGATTGATTGAATTTTTTTTTATAATTTTAGATTAACTAAAATTGTTGTTTTTGGCCATTTTTAGCAAATAGTCATTGACAATGATGATCAATAGATGTCGCTTCAAGCGTTTCGAATCTAAATAACAAAATCGAATGAATAAAGTTCAATTTTTTTTTGTTTTTTGGTTGAAAATTTTGTTTGTTTTTTCAAAAAAGTTTTTCCATTTCGATGATCAGATCGGTATATAAAAATGCGATCACTAATGCGACCTTGTACAACATTTTTTTTTTGTTCATCCTCCTGAATATGGATTGGATTGGTTTGGTTTGGTTGGCTGTTGTATAAATCATCATCGGAAGTGAATTTTTCATCGTTTTTTTTCAATCCAACCAATATATTTTTGATCTGGATTTTCATTTCTTTTTTGTTGAAATTTTTCAATGTCAACAACAATATCAAAAATGAAAAATCCAGATGATCATCGTTCCATTTTCTGTAACCATCAAAACAATGATTCAAAATGTTTATCATCAACAACAACGAAAAAAATCCTAATTGAATGTATACGATATTCGATTCGAATGATAATAATGTTTACCATTATCCTATCGTATATTTTCCTTGTATTATGGTTAATGTTACAATTAACATCGGCAAGTTATTGGAATACATTGTTTCATTTATTACCCGGGTCATTTCGTAATGATGATACTAATCGTAATATTGTAAGTTTTTTTATTTTGTTTCAATTAATTATCGATTATCATTGAAATTGATTGATTCATTACATTCCCATACTGATAATAGTATGAATTGATTGAATCACGTGGTTTTAAATATGAACAACATTTTGTTGAAACAAATGATGGTTATATTTTACAATTAGTACGTATTATTAATCCATTAATCGCAAATGATGATGAACATTATAATCGTTTAAAACCAATACTATTACATCATGGTTTTCAATGTACTGGTACATCATGGCTTATCGCTCGTAATGGTACATTATTATCGAATGGAATTTTTCAAGAATATTCCGATGAACACGAATCAACTGCATCATATGGAAATCGTTTCAATAGTTATCCCACCAAAGATACTGTTGGTGATTCATTAGGTTTTGTTCTGGCAACAAAAGGTTACGATGTATGGTTGGCAAATTATCGTGGATCAATTTATTCAACAAATCATACCAGATTACGAACTGATTCAAAAGAATTTTGGAAATTTTCAATCGATGAAATGATTTTATATGATTTACCAGCTGAAATTGATTATATTTTGGAAAAAACTCAACGAAAATCATTATCATATATTGGACATTCACAGGGTAATCTAATGATGTTTGGTTTAATGTCGTTAAGTGATTATTATAGTGAAAGAATTCGTCCATTTATTGCATTATCACCTGTATTTTATCATGATGGAGGTATACGTTCAGCATTAACACGTTTTATACCATTTATTGATTATCTTCGGTAAGTTTCAATTGAATTTCTCCAATGTCCATTGATCATGTTGTTTTTGTTTCTACAGATCAAATCCATCGATGGTTCCATTTTCATCGGGAACAAGATCATTTTTTTCAAATGTTTGTGAAAACATTTTAACCAAACAATTATGTTTCAATATGTTTTATCAATTTACTGGAACTATAATGGATAATATAAATCCAAATAGATTGACTGTATTTACATCGAATATTGGTATGGGTTCATCATCATGGAATGCAGCACATTTATTACAATTATATAAACGTTTGGATGGAAATTTTACATCATTCGATATGGGTGATAGTGTTAAAAATCTTGATCGTTATGGACAATCAGAACCATTTAATTATGATGCTAGTATTATCAATTCTACGAATATTGCACTAATATATACTGAAAATGATTGGTTTAATACTATCGAACAAATTGAAAGATTACGAAAAACATTACCAAAAAAATTAATTGATGATTACCTGATACCAAATGAATGGTATGGACATGTTGATCTATTATGGGGTTATAATGTTGGCAAAATGGTTAATCAAAGAATATTGAATATTTTAAATCATTATTGATTGATTGAATTTAAAATCAATCGATTGATCCATCGATCCAACCGTCAACAAATATTTTGATTTTGACTAATAAGTAGACAAACAAAAAACTTATGTAAAAACTTATAATTTTTTTCGTATCCTTTTTTAAAAAATATTTAGTTTTTTCTTGATTAAAAAATAATAAAAAATTTTTAACAATCAAAATGGATTGTGGGTGTACAAACCAATGATTGATTGATTGAAAATTTTTTTGAATGAAAAACCAATTAATCAATCAATCGATTTCAATCGAAAGTAGAAATTTTCCATATTTTTTAACAAAAAAAATTTAATTTTTGAATATTTAAAAAAGTGACGACGTCCAATGATAATGATGTGGCATATTCATATCGAATTGCAATGTTTTTTAAAAAACACATCAAAATGAAATGTTCATTATCATCATCATCATCATTATCGTTGTCGTTGAAATCGGCAAAAGATTATCATTAAAAACTTAATTTCTTTTTAATTTGATTTTTCTCCCAAGTATCTCTCCCTCATTCATTCTATTTTATTAAAAAAATTTTCAAAAATGTTTTTCATCGTTTGTACCAAAAACGATTGAATCGTTTATCGTCTTTATCAGATATTAGTCGGTGTTTTAGTCGGTGGTAAATGGATCGATTACGAATCGAATCAATCAATTAATTGATTTTCTTGGATTTCTTGGATTTTTAAAATATCGTTTTTTTTTGTTTCAATTTTCCATCGCTCAAGGCTATAGTACAAAATTCAAATCGATGGTCATGGTTATATGGTTATATGTTTTCGTTTCTGGAAAAAAAATTCATTGATTGACGTCACACCATTATCGACAATCTTTTAATTTAACCAATCATTACTAAACCACCCCAAAATTAAATTTGATGGATAATTTTGTTGTTGTTGTTGATTTCCAAAACAACAACAACAACAACAACAACAGATGAATATTCAATAGAATGCAATAGTTTTCTCTCTCTCTCATTCTCTCGCCTTCATTTTACTATGGAAAATTTATATTAATGATGGTTGTTGTTGTTGTTGATTAACCATCCATTTCCAATGTCAAGATCAATCTAATCATCATCATC